TGCTTTGCTTTGTGATTCAGCAAGAAACTCTTGTGATTTTTCCTGTCTCACTGGAAAGAATTTGCTTTGCATCAGCTGCTAATGGAGAAATAGCGGAAATAATTGGGTCAGCTCCTCAGCAGCTTGAAACTGCTGCAAATTTGGTGTCACGAGACTGGTCTGCACCAGTAGGACCCTCCTGAGCAGATGTAGAGATGCAGCGTGTCCTGCAGACCCCTCCTGCAGCTTTCTGAGGGGATAAAGCACTGGCTCCCAGTTATTACTGATCTACTGATGTGTAGTTTATCTGTTTGAAAAGATTTTCATTGCAGTAGTTCCCTTGGCTTCGTGGCAGAGCAAAGGTCTTTGCTATGTGCAAGCAAACAGAGCCCTCTCCCCAATCAACTCCTTCTGCACCCTCTGCTTAATTGCAATCCTTATCGCTGCTCTAAACACAGCCTGTTGCAGGATTTTGGGGGAATTAAAGGAGATGGAATGCTTAGAGGAGCAAAGCATCCCCCATGACACTGGTTACTTGAAGGCCAGACCCTGTGGACTCATGGGGCCAGAGCTGAGGACCAACAGGGATACCTGCACCATGCTGGAGAAACAACTGAGTCATTCCATGCTGTCACCAAGCAGCCTTTGGAGAGGGAATGATTTTCACCCTGCTGACTGATTACATGTTTAAGGATGAAATACTCTGTTGCTTTTACCAGTGTTCCCTAACTATATGCGGAGGAAGAAATCTATAGTTCCCCCAACTGACTGCGAATGCTGCCAGCTTAATAACTCACACAAGCCTCTGTCGTTGCAGCCTACGTTCTGTCTTGCTTTCATTACATATTCTTTTATTGCATTGCCATGGAATGTATCAATAGCCTCTATAAACTCCCACAGGAAAGCAGGCAGCAGCTTAGCACAAAGGTTTTGAGGGAATCTCCTTTCATTTTCCCATTAACAGGTAAAGCCTGGATCTGGCGTGTCTTGCTTCATGTCACCTCATTCAGCTGCTGCCTCCCGCCCACTCCCCTGTAAAATCTGGCAATCACTGGGTTAAGTCTCATATTAGCAAGGGTGCCAGCTCTAATCTGAGCCCACTCCAGCATTTTACTGAGCAAATTGTGGTGCTGACTGTCTGCATTTATATATATATTTGCAGGTACGTTATCAGCTCCCCCTTCAAAGCAACTGTGCTCAACCACACATCACAAAAACCCATGTGCTTAGTGCAAAATTCACTCACGTGATGGGCTTGCAAAGGTGGGCACCTAATTTTGCACTGAAAGCCAAGGTAGACACCTGATTTCGTAATGAAAGCCATGAGCAGTGAGCTTGGGCATGGCCTGGCTGCTGCCTGCACCTCTTTGGCCCCAGTGCTCTGTGGGCAATGCTGGGATGCAGCTCATGTTCAGACACTTGCCTCCATCCTCTAATGCCAATTTAAAGGCCCACGGTGTTCAGTGTTCTGGAGGAGGGTGTCCTGCTCCCTTCTGGGTCCATATGTGACACCCTGGTCTGGTGATGCCTGAACTCCCAGCTCCTGACGGCGGTTTCTGGCTACTAAAACTGAGCTGTTCTGTCCCTCCTTATGTGATTTGAGTTGTGGCAGGTGAGTATTTGGTAGCCTGGCCCCTTAAGCACTAAGAGTTGATATCTGTTGGAGGTGGCCTCGGCTGCCCTGCTGCCAGGACAGCCTCGTCCTCCGGGAGCCCCTGCCCGTGAAAAGTCATCACATTGTGCACTTCACACCATATATTTATTCATACTCAGCTATGAAATAAATCCCCCCTCAGCAGGCCTGCATGTTACAGAAGGGTTTATTTCATCCTTACATGGTGTCTCTGGGAGTTAGAGCAGTTTTACCAGGGAGAGCTGGGGGCAGAGGCTGGGATATCTCCTGCTTCTGCTCTCACTGGCAACCCCATTTGCCACTAAGGATGCTCCTGGGCCATCGCTCCTCCCCTGTGCCTGGGGAGGGATTAAATTTCTAAAGAAATATTTTGGGATGGGGCCAGACCTTTCCAAGATGCTGCCCTTCAGTGCTAGAGCTCTGCACTGTGTTTCCAAGCCCCATGATGGCCACTTTCCCTGCCCTGGTGGCTCCCAGAGCTCCACCTGAGATGCTCAGGAGCTGTAAAGGAGAAATTAACTGTAATTATGGAGCATTGCAGGGCATAAATATCCTCTAAATCCTCTTTAATTACCTGGTAGCACTTAATTACATGGCAACTAGAATGTAAGCACAAAAATAAATATGATTTCAGTTTTATCTTCAGCAGGGGCACTGATAATTAATTTTGGAGGGTACCGTAGGACCTGCACGGTGTGGACTGTGCTAAAACAGTATTGCAGCAGTGCTGCTGCCCCGGATGGACAAACCTCCCTTCTTCTCCCTCCCCAACAGCCACGACTTTATCACACCTTCCCATTCCCCCCTCGGCATCATGCCTCTGTCTGTATGTCTGTCTAATCACAGGCAGGGACTTGTGGATGTCAGGGTAAGGCAGGACCGCTCAGTGCCATATCCACTGATCCTCCTGCCCGGAGAAAACCAGGCGTGAGAGCCTCCACGGTTCACTCATCCCACCCCAATCACGCTGTGACCCCACAGCCCGTAACCAGCCGGCAGGATCGGGATCACTCTCAGCCGTGGGCACGAGGCTTTTTCCCCCGTTTGCTCCCAGCACTCAGCCCAGGCACCGGCAGCAAGTCCTCACGCTCGTCTGGCTGGGGCTGGGCTGTCATGTTCCATTAGAGTCGGCGAGTCAACCCAGACCTCCTCGGGGCCGAGCCGAAGAGGATGCAAACAGCCCGGCCTGGGATGTTCCACCACCAAAATGCTGCCTCCCGTCGCCCCCAGCACACATGGAGCACAAGGCTTGATGAGGAGGAGGGAGGGTGCGATGAAGTGCAAAGTCACGTTGAAGAAATTGGATGCACCTTAACCTCTGTCACCCCGTATAATCACCCCGACCACGTTTAAATGGGTAACAGTGCTGTGGACCAGCAGAGGAAAATCACTGCTACTACCCTGGCTTTTTTTCCAACCATAATTAGTATATTGCAGCATTTTTGCCTGGGAACCCTGAGCAGAAGCGCCCAGGAACTCAGTTTGCTTTCTGTAAAAGCAGAACCAGCTGCTGAAGTCAAATGAGCACAATTTTTTTAACTCGCTTTCTGGTTTGCTGCGTCATTTATACCCTGACACAGAGTTAGGGGGGTGGAAAAGAATCGCTCATCTGGTGAGTTTTTGCATTAATTTTCCCCCCAGATGTGTAATTTTACACCACAGAGATGAAGCAGAGCTGATGTGATCAGGGTTGTGCGTGCTGTGACTTTCCTCCACCTGCTTTATAACCCCCCATACTGGAAACAAGTCAGATTTTCCTTCTTTTCTAATATAGTGCTCAAGCTAAACAGCACGTTACGGCTGATTTACACACATATGCAACCTGGCAGGTAGTAGCAGTGTTTGCGCTGTTTGAACCCTCCAATAATTGATATTTTCTACTTGCTTTACCATTGTTATTTCCCTGGAATATTCAGAGCAGCAGCAAATACTCGTGGAACAGATTTGAGGCTGGAGCAAAGCTGCCACGGTGGAGCTGGCTGTTGTTAGAGGGTGATTTTCCTTGGGCAAAGCTTGTCCCAGGTCACTTTTGGGGACCTGCAGTTGCTCCTGAAGAGGGGAACAGCCTTGGGTCAGTGACCTCAAGGAGCCTGCAAAGATTTTCTATCATGTCCCATTGAAAAGACATCCAAAGAGAGCATGAGGAAGCCAGAGCAGAGAAATGAATCGTAGTCCTGCTGCAGAGACTTCATTTGATAAATAATGTATATAGAGTTTGCAGTAATAACTGCTTTTTTCCAACCCCGGCAGCCGGGCTGGGTTTGACACATCCAGGATGTATTCCTCCTTCCAGGTGGTGAGACAGGCTCTGTTGTGTCAGATAGGTTAATCTGGGGCTTTTCTCATTGCTGATGAGCCACCTGTGTGTGTGTGGAGGCGGCGTTCCCGGGCACCGCAGGAGGAAAGAGATGCGCTGGGGGGGCAGGGTTTAGGAAATCTCCCGAGATTAACACATGCCACGGACATATGGAGGAGAGGGGACGTATAGCCCTGGGTCTGCACGTGGGTATCATCATTCCCCACACCAGGATGCTGCTCCCTGACCTGCCTGCCAGACCTGGTCCAGTCTGATGCTGGAGATGTGGCTTCCCCATCCCTGGACCAAGTCCCTCATCCCTTCCCAAAAATCTCTTTTTTTTGGCTTCAAGCATGCCTCCCAAAGAGCACATGGCATTGCCCACAGGTGAGCTTCCACAGGAAAGATGGGACCTTGGAAGTGACCAGCTAGATTACCCCTGGTTATCCCTGCAAGTGCTAAAGCATTTGGATTATCCTTTGCAATCCCACGCTGCTGTTACAACAGCCTGAAATATTCCCATCACTTTCCATTCCCAGTTTTCCATCCCTTTTGACCCTAACAGCCACCACAGTGGGGCAACCCAACCTCTTCTGACCTCTCCAGACATGGAGATGGTAAAATGGGAGCTGAAAGTGGGCCTCTTTAGGAAGCCAAAAAATGGGGAGAGAAATATCCTCCTGCCTCTGTCCATTTTTGGGCTCCTGAAGAAGGGCGAGGGGGGATAGGGGAGGAGAGAGGAGGACTGTGACCACCCCTGAGCCTTGGAGACCCTGGTGACTCAAAGATCTCCTAACCTGTCCAGCCCCAGGTAACGAGAGGGGCTCACAGGTGTAGGACAGAGCTGGTCTGGGCTTTTAGGATGGGGATCCTGCCCAATAAGTCATGCTGGGCTGGGTGCAGGCAGTCCAAATCCCAAATTTCCTTAGGTTATGCTTTCCTGCCAGCTGGGATAGCCTCCATGGGCACGTCTGGGGCTGAGGGAACTGGCTGGGTGCCTGCACAGACCCGCCAGTGCCACAAGAGGAATACAAAAGGGCTTTAATCAAAGCACACCAGAGATAACACTCCTCAGTCATTTTTATTGCAGGCCTCGAAGGCTTCGACTGGAACCATCTGGTTAAAAAGAGATTTGCTTCTGTTGGACTTCGGTGGAAAACCTGGGCTACCATGTCGGTGAAGGTAAGTGGGAAAACCCATCTCTCTCCCCGTTTTACACCCCTGTGGAAGAACTGGAAACAGCCTCAGTGCTTTTAATGCACGGATAAACAAGAAGGGAAAACAGCTCTAGTCAACGTGGGCTCGCACCAGCTGAAGATCTGAGTCAGGTTGGGGTTTTATTGCCCTATAATAGGCAAGTACCTCACCAAGGAGTGGATATAAATGTGTAACATAATTTCATTGAGCCTGGAGCCGGTGTGGGGTGTGGCAGCCTGGAAGCCAGCCCACTGCTTTGCCGTGTTTTTTAAGTGACAGCTTGGTTTTGCTCACTTTAGTTCTCCCACTAGTATTGTAAGTGTTGGGGTTAGCCAGTTCACAAGCAAGCACTTAAAATCAATTTTAAGGCTGTTTTTATGCTGAAGAACTGCATGGGGATGTAAGGCTCGGGATGAAGGAGACCCCTTCAGTCCTGTGACAGTGATCTGATATACCCCCTGTCATGAACGGGTCAATATTCATCTTTGAATTGACTCTCAGGATTGACTGCAGTGGTCCCCAGTGTCCCAGAAGGCTGGCTCAGCACCTCGTATTTCTGACTGACTTATAATTCCTAAGCCAAAATTAACCAGACTCACTGGTTAATTTTAAAGTTAAAACACACTTTCTTGCCCTGCCTTTGCTGCCCCCCTTCACTTCTGATCAAAGCTATAGATAAATAATGATAGATAACATGCAGTGGCTGTCTGAGCAGGGCTCGCTGAACTGAGAAACGAGATTGTTTGGGCAGCAATTGCAGCACTGTGGGAAGACAGGAAACAGCCAGAAATACTTGCAGAGTTGTAGAGCAGTGATTTGAAATTGAGGAATTACTGGCTGCATCTTATTCCTGCAGAAAGTGAGGAGCAAATGCCCCTTGATGCCTGCTGGGAGCAGGACAGTCCTGTCAAATTAGGCAAACTCACCCTGCTAATTAAGGTGGACTTGGACTGCTTCCCACACACCTGAAACAGAACAAATGGGAGAGTGTTCAGAGAGTTTTCATCCAGAGGGACCTGGACAAGGTGGAGGAGTGGGCCTGTGGGAACCTCATGAGGTCCAGCACGGTCAAGAGCAAGGTCCTGTGCCTGGGTTGGGGCAACCCCTGGTATCAACACAAGCTGGAGGAAGAACAGATAGAGAGCAGCCCTGAGAAGTAATTCTTGGAGGTACTGGAGGATGAAAGGCTGGACATGAGCTGACAATGTGTGTTCACAGCCCAGAGAGCCACTCCCACCCTGGGTGCATCACCAGCAGCGTGGACAGCACTCTCATGAGACCCCACCCCTGGAGTGCTGTGTCCATCCTCGGGGTCCTCAGCACAAGAAAGATGTGAACCTCTTGGACCAGGTCCAGAGGAGGCCATGAAGAAGCTCCAAGGGCTGGAGCACCTCTGCCATGGAAACAGGCTGAGGGAGCTGGGGGTGTTCAGCCTGGAGAAGAGAAGGCTTTGGGGAGACCTCAGAGCACCTTCTAGTACCTCATGGGGCTCAAGAGAGCTGGAGAGGAGCTTTGGACAAGGGACAGAGTGACAGGACAAGGGGGAATGGCTTCAAACTGCAAGAGCAATTTCCTGTGAAATGCTGAAATCACAGCCTAAGGAATACTACCACATCACAGCCTAAGGAATACTACCACAGGCCGGTGGAAGTTCACTTCTGTGCAGTGGTGCCAGTTTGATTTTCCACTCTAGACAGATATTTAGGAATCCAAAGTCCTCTTACTTCAGTGGGAATATCTATGTAGTACTTTTCTGCCCCAAAGTCCAAAATACTCTATTAAAATGCTCATGAGAAAGGAAAACAGAAGCCCAGTGAGAGACCCCCAGAAGTGTGCTTGGCTGGATGGGTGACAGGGACAACTCCACTGCCCAAACTGTGGAAAATAATTAATTGTACAGCCTGGGCTGAAATTTGTGTGGGTTCTCTTACTATCTTGGCTGGCCTTGCCCACACCTAATGTGGTGTTTGGCTGGTCTCTAGGAGATACAACTGAGCTGTGATGTCTCTGATATCTCATCTGCTTTTAGAAGTGCAGTAAGCGGAAAGAAATGTCCTTTCAACACAAGCCTTGGCTGGAAGATCAATAGCAGCTTCACATGTATTTTTGTCCAGTATTCAGTTTTGTAGGGTTTTGGGGGGGGGGGAAAAACCTGTTACTTTTTGTGCAGCACATGGACATGAGGAGGAGCTCCACTGTCAGGGCTCTGGGCTTTTATCACAAATTGCCTCCCCAACCCAAGCCACTGGGGCTAAAACCACATAACCAGGGGCAGGCAGTGAGCCAGGACTGCCTGTACTTATCCCAGACCTTCTCCTGCCCAAGGAGATGGACATCCTAAAGCCAGTTGGTGTTTAGCCTCTGGTATCCTGGTGTGCCTCACAGAGGGGCTTTCACTCATTACTGCTTGTGCAGTGTCACAAGATGTTCCAACAGAAGATTTTCTGATTGCAAGCCATTATAATAATTTTTGTATATGATTATGTTTCCTGGCAGGGGATCCAGTCTGCCAGGCACACGCCTGCTCTGGAGAAAACAAAAAAAACCAGTTATTTTGAAATTCCACCTTCTTCACCCTGGGCTTCTCCTTTCTGAAGCTGCTGCAGATGTGGCAGGTGAGATGGGTGACTGGAGGGGTGGTACCAGCCACAGCTAATTGGGCTGGTGGATCAACTCCTTTGAGCCCTCGTGGCTCTGCCCATTTCTGTGCTCATTTATTTTAGCTGAGATCAGGCCAGGAGTGGGGGGGGTTGTGGTAGAGGGTTTTATGATGCTCTGGACAGGCAGGAGATGTGGGTAAGAAGGAGAGAAAAAAAGGGAGCTGGGTGTTTTTGAGAGGAGCATCCCAAGTTTGATGTGGTGCACATGTGAAGTTGCCTTTGATACTGAGCAGAAGAAGTGCTCAGCAGTGCTACTTCTCTCTTGTTCCAGGGTGTGCATTAACATGCTGCTGACCTGCTGCCTTCCTGGGAGTCTTGGAGGAGGAAATGCATCAATCTGCTGTGACCTGGATCCTGTGCTCTGGAGTTCAGGTGTGCTGCTCGTGTTGATTTTCTGCCGTGTCTCATTTTCCACAATGCTGTGCCCTGTGCCCTCTTCTGTATCTCACATTTATACAAAATACCAGCATATATATATATGTGTTCCATTTTTCTGATGTGTGGTGGGCCCCTGGCCTACGTAAAGCTGGCATGGTAGAAGGGACATGGCAGTTAATCATAAGGAAAGTTCCATATTTGGAGAAGATTCAAGTATTGTCTTAAATCTTCGCACCCTGAGAAGAATGACATTTAAAATCCAACCTCCAGCCTTAAGCTCCTCACAGCTGCCTGTCAAGCTGCAACAGGGCTGTCCCCAGCTGGGATTGGTGGAAATACTGGAAACTTCTGCCCAGAGCAAATTAGGCAAACACAATCCTCATGGCCTGGGGCTTCTTCTGGGTGTTGTGCCTGGATTATTGCCCTGGGAAATGGTGAGTGTGGCTGTTAAAGCTGGAAGGGGGATCTTGTTCCAGCTAGAATCAGTGCATCTGGATGGGGAGAAACTCCTGGACACTGAGAACAGGGAACTGCTTCCCCTGAGCTGCCATGTTCCCTCTCCTGATTTAAAACCCAGTCAGCAGCTCAACAGAACTCTGTTTTTCCTTGCTGGATATCATGTTTTGCATCTTCACTACGCTGAAACCACAGGATTAATACTTCTGTACATGACTATAAACCTGATAGAGCCCCCACTGAAGCACCTGCCTTTCCAAGGAGCTTAAGTACTATTTTTTGAAAAGCACTCCAGTGACCTTTGGACTCCTGTGGAGCTCTTGAGTATGTGTGACCTGAGGCTTTGGTGGTAGGAATCCAATTCTGAAAAAGCCTGGAAACTGATCTATGGCTGTGTGAGATGCAGGAAGGCTATGGAGACACAGGAGAGATGATGGCTTGTTTTCTAGAAGGGCTTCAACATGGGTGCCCCCATGGTGGGTCCATCCATCCCGTAGCAGACATGGTCACGGTCTCTGCGGGCACTTTCCACCACAGGAAAGTGCAAATTCATGTTGAGCTAAGGTTAAATATAAGGGGTTTTGCTAGTTTGAAGAGCCCAAAATGTTGAAGTAAAAAGTGTTGATGCCGATGGGATCCATCCATCCCACACTTGTGGTGGCTCTGCTGTGTTCACACAGCTCCAGCTCTTGGCTTCAGGTCTGTAGTTCTGGTCTTGTTAGCACAGGATTTTCATACAACCATGGAATGGTTTGGCTTGGAAGGGACCTTAAAGCTCATCTAATCCAACCCCCTGCCATGGGCAGGGATACTTTCCACTAGATCAGGTTGCTCTAAGCCCCATTCACGCCTGACCTTGAATGTTTCCAGGGATGGAGCAGCCAGAGCTTCTCTGGGCCACCTGTGCCTCACCACCCTTATTGTAAAAAAAAAAAAAAGTCTTCCTTATATCTAATCAAAGTTGGGGTTTTTTTGGGGGGGAATAAGTGATGGAAACTTGCCTGCATTTCATGTCAGCCTTCCTTGGCATGTTAAAAATTATTTTTTTTATTTGCTGTGACAGCGGGAGCTTAAATCAAATCTTAAATAGCCACAAAAGTGTATTAGTTGTGGAAGTCCCTGCTTCCCGGGGCTGGGAGGCAGTACCATGGCTGCTGGAAGGGACCACCACATACTGCCAAATGCACAGAAAAATAGGACCTGAGACAAAGTAAGACACTGAGGGAGCAAATCTGCTCTGAGCAGCAGGTCTGTGAGCCCTGTGAGTGCTGTCAGTGGCAGTGGAGCATCCTGTGGGCACCGTTCCAGCTCCTGGCTCTGGTCCAGGTCTGCCTACTGGAGTAATGTGTTAGTTGGTGAAGGCAAATTGAGGCGTATCAAAACAGCTCACAAACTTGTATGTAGTTAAACTTTGTTTGGCTTTAGTTGAAAAATGGCCTTGAAGCCTGAATGTTTATTTTAAAGGAAATCTCTCAAGCCATGTTTCGGTATAACTTGGTTTCCTTGGTTTGCACGGAGGGGAGAGAGGAGAAATTACTTCAAAGCCAAATTCTGGTGGGTCTTGGTGCCCTGCTGCCAAAACTGGCTGGAGGGCTGACGCTCAGAAAGCAGAGTGACCTTTGCAGAGAGCCAGATGCTGCCTGTGAGCTGAGCTTGCCAGGGGAGAATAAATTACCAAATATACTGCTCTGGAGAGTGCGACGGAGCCTGCAAGGAGGCAGTGCCAGCACAAAAGCTGAGGGATGTGGGTGAGCATTTACAGTGTCGTGATCACAGCCTTATGCACCAGCTACCTGAGGCTTGGCATGGCCTTTTGGGTGCTTCCTTTGCTTCGTTTTTCTTTCCTCCCTAAAAACGAGGGAGGGAGATGGCATCAGTGGGAGCTCCCTCTCTGCTGTGGGAGGCAGATGCTGCTGCAGCTGCACACCCAGCATGAGTGTCTAGAGCTGTGCTTCCAACCTCCTGGGCTTTGCCATCTCCTCTCCCCTCAGTCCCAGTGTCCCCTGGGGGGACTCTGCGACAGAGTTGAGGCTAAGAATACCTTTTTCCTTTCTAATTTTATTTTTAGACCCAGCCCTGATGGTGCAACATCAGAGCTGCTGCCGCTGCCCGAAGGCTGACTCAGACTGGGCTGATGCCCAGGTGAAAGAGCTCATGACTCCACTCCTGGTGTTTGTCTGCCATGGGGAATGATGTCATGGCCCTGGGCTCATCAGCAGGCTTGGGAGAGGACACCCCCTTTCCTAGCTGTGCATAGGGTACATCCCGGTGGGGACAGGCGCTCTGCAGTCCCTGTGGATCACTCATTCTGCACTAGGTGGGGGAAAATCACATTCCCTGAAGGCAGGGGTGGCCAAGGGCAGCAAGGATGCCTTGACCGCACCAAAACCAGCTTCTGTGGTGTCTCCACTCGGCTCAGCCCCAGCACCTGCACCCCTGACCCCCCTACTCGGGGCTGTAGGGTGGTCATGCTGATGGTGGGAGGGTGTCAGGACCTTGCTGCAGCGTCTGTTCTATGCTCCTAAGTGAGGAGGCTGCCAAGGAGCATCCCTTGGAGGAAGGGGTGTGTGGGGGTGACTGGGGAGGCTGCTCAGATTAAATCTGACCGAGCAGCTCCAAGACAGAGATGTCAAACCCAGTAGCCAAGTGTCCCCCCCAACATGTGCCATCACACTGTCCCTTATGAGAAGACCTGCGAAGCTGCAGGACCTGGACAAGGCAGCCTGTTCTCTACAGGACTCCTCTCTGGATCAGAGAACCCCCTTTCTCTTCCTCCTCCAAGCCTTTAATCCTAAGGGCTGGTTTGACTCCCTTTTTTGTCAGGGATACCAGTAAATTTTTACCCATTTCTTACTGACTGGGTGTTTTATAAAAAAAGTTGTATCTCTCACTACTTGGACACCACAGCAATGGCTGTGAAAACCCTTCTGTTAGTTTGTCTGGGAAACCCTGGACTGGAAACTGTACATTTGGGTTCAGCCCAAAGCTGGGCCCCAGTGAGACCCACAAGCTCCTTGGCTGTGACATACCTGATTTCTATTCCAAACTAAATGACCATGGATGCCAAGACTGGAGAGTCCAACTCTCCAATCCTTATTTAAACTAAGAATTAAGAAGAAACCATAACTTTGGGAAATGTATCTTGAGTTATGTTTCCTGGCTTTTTTTACCCCCTTGAAAGCAATAGAGCTTAATAGAAAATGGCTTTCTTGCGGTTTTTTGTGGATCATGCTCTATGAAAGGGCAAGAATAATTCTCCCTGCCATAAGAAAACCTGCATTCAGTGGTTAAAACCACTATTAGAAAGAGCATCCTGAGCTATTAAATCCTGCAGGTTTCAGGGTAACTCCATTGGCTGCATTGCTATTGCATCTTGTAGGATTTTCCCACAGGGTACGTACAGTTTCTCAGGGAGCTTGGACCATGTATACCAACACTCAGGCATCTACAAAATCCAAAAGAACATAATTTCTTCTCCTACATGATGGGGATTTTGTCTCCCTTCAGCAGCAGGAGCTGGTCCCATTGCTGCAGACACTCCAGTGCCTCTGGGTCCCAGCACAGCACCTCACCCACAAGCCTTGCACCCAAGCACACAAACTTGCCCCTCCTGGGTTACCTCGAGCCTGGAGGGGCTTTGGCTGATGCCTGGAGGCTCTGAAGACAAAAGAATTGAGTGAAAAGCAGGTGGCAGAGAGCAATAGCAGAGTTCAGCCTTTACTCTGTGGGGTTTCCCTTAACTAGGAAGGGAAGTCCTGCTCCGAGTTTCTCTCTGGCAGCCAGCATCAGGTCAGCCTCACTTTTTCCCGCCCCCAGCCTTTGCTTTTGTTCTTTGTCTCTATCTTGCCATCCCTAAAGGGCAATCACAGCCACTCATGCACAGGCTGGGGGGAGCCCTCAGCCCTGGGTGTTGCTCAGTGTGGATGAGATTGCTGCAGCACTCACGGGCCAGCTGAGCAGAGAGCTCTGTGGGAAAGCAGGCTCCAAACAGCTTAAATGCTTTATCCCAGGGCGGGTGGACAAGGCATTGATCCCTTCTAGCTCTCTGTCCCGGTGCCTTCCCATGAACTACCATAGATTTTGCATATTTTTTTCCTCTGCTCTGGCTTCTTTCATGTTTTTCTCCTATATCAGGCAGTGTAAGCAGCTCTATTTCAAAATAACCAGCAAATATCCTGATCCCCTGAAATCCTTGTGAAAACTCCTGGTGCTCCCTGTACTAGAGATAAGGGACATCTTCCCTGTACAAACCTCCCAAGCAGTATGTGAAAGCCAGCTGTTATGGTTTCTCTTCGGGGCTCCATTGCCTTCCTCGATTTCTGTTGCATGACAGCGCTCACAAAGCTCCCAACTTGTTATTTATCAGGGCTGGAGCCTCTGGTGATGACAAAAATGGGAGGTTTTTCTGCAAACTTCCCCAGGCAGCCACAGCTGGTTAGTCAGTAAGGGCTCTGTGCACAAGTTCATCCTGAAGTCGAGCAGAGCTTCTCTTCCAATTTCCCTTCCTATCCTTCACCCTCGTCCTGTTTTCCCTCTGGGAGACCTGTTGTAGTGTATTTTTTTTTTTATTCCCCCTGTATCTAGGAGAGTTTGATTTGGCAACCATCCAGGAGAGAAAGGACTTGCAATTGCTTTGTCCTTTGGCGAGTTGGGTTATTGTGACTTCATGGTTTGCTGTTGGGAAAGCGATTAAGAGGAAAAAGTC